CCCCAAAACCCCAAAACCCCTAGAGGTAGCATTGAAAAGATTAAGTAGAACATGCACAATATTTTGTAGAAATTAAAACTTAATGTATAGTAAATTAGAAAACTTGATTATCACTGTAGGCAGACAGTAGATGTACTTTTTCAAAGTTCATTTCCAATGGTAACCCAGCCATTGTGCAGATTGTTTCTTCTGCCGAAGATCTCTAAGTAATACCCGTTAGGTACTAGAGCCTCAGCAATTTCATATATTTCCTCAGGTTTCTGTGACTATCCTCTTCTTTGACTGAATATTACATCACTCTCGATGTTGAATCTGGCCTTTCCTTTCACATTTCCCTTTACACCAACCAAGCATGTTTCTTTTGCATGCTGCAAATAGTAGCCATGACCTTTAGCGATCTTGCCATTTACTGTTTACTTTACCCATGCAATCTCATCAACTAGTCTATTCATGAATTAATATATATAAATGTAAAACTTACTTGTAGCCGAATTCCTCCATCATCTGAAGTGCGAATCTGTATTTGGCATTAATAACCCAGATAAATAAGAAGCCATCAGTTTACAACTTTTCAAAAGGCATGCTCAAGATCTCTCTGTCATTGAGTGTATCATAGGCGATAGCGACGCCTCTAGTTGGGTTTGCTGATGAGAGTTACCAAGGTGGGTCAATGGTAATTACATCAAAGAGTCTTCCTGATTGTTTTAGTTAAGATTTAGCAAGAAGATCGAAATCGAATGACTTAACATTGACTGAGAGTGGGATACACCAGAACTGCTTTAGATGGCTAGTCTCCTTAAAAGCTTCAAGCGCTTCCTCGTGCTTGCTGTTGTTGTTGATCTGTTTAAGCTCCTCTTCCTTTTCAGAGTCTTCTTCCTCAAAGAACTGCTTCTCAAGTGCTTTGATGTGTCTCTTGACCTCTTTTAGCATTCTGCGAATTTCAAACTCATCATTGGGCAAGTTGTCAATGAAGACTGTCTCCTCTTCATCTGCTTCAATGTCTTTACCTTCCACAGCACTTATTTCAGTCTTTCTTTTTTTCTAAGAACGAACCGAACTCTTGGCCTTCTCTTTGTTCTTTCTCTTTTTGTCTTCAACAAATGATTCATTGTCAAGATCTTCAAGTGCTTCCTCTTCTGAACTCTCCTCATCATCTTCCAAATCTTCAGCATCTTCGTCATCCTTGATTGATCTCTTTGTTCTTTTTCTAGCACTTCTCTTATTGATTGGATAGTCATCTTCTTCATCATCGCTAGCCCTTTCAATTTGAGCATCATCCATTAACTCATCTTCTTCCTCCTCAAAGATCTCATGCTTTTTCTTTCTCAACTCAATTTATTCATCTTAGATAGTCTTGATAGTGGCTTCATCACCCTCCAGCATTTGCTTGTAGTTTTCCACCTTTCTTGGTCTCAAACTCCTCTTCATGTTTGAATCTTCAAGATTTCCTTAGGATAGATAAGCTTGAGAGTTTGCTTCTGACTGCCTTACTTTCTTGTCTACAAGTTGTTAGATCTCAAGTAAGTTTGCAGAATCTTATTGATCTTGTTGAGCTCCGCGCTTCTTGGGAGATTCTAGGGCTTTCTTCTTGGGAGTTTGAAGGTTTGAGTTTGCATCACCATTCTAGTGGGAAACAGCATGCTAAGACAAAGATCTTCCATTAGATTGACTCTCTCTGTTTTGCTATTGAGATGCTGATTACCTAGTCTGCATTTGTTGGACTTGATCAACTCCATTCTCACCATTTGCTTTCTAGTTGTGATTGGCATCTTGCTTTTCATGAGTTCCATTGATAGGTTATTTTTTGAAAAACTGAGTTAGAGCAGGCTGACTTTTCTTCTTAGATGCGGTACCCTCAGCGAGGTCTTTCGAGTTTCCCCGCGTATTTTTTACTTATTCCATTCTCTTACAAATAAATATATAGACTTTTAGTATTAATCAAATTTAACTGTGTATTTTAGTCTAGTGGGGTTTTGGGGTTTTGGGGAGATCGGAAGAGCACACGTC